AAAGGTAAGGATGGGCTAGTTCATATAGGGTTTTATATACAGCATTTGTAGATAGTTTTTGGTTTTGATTCATTGCTAATGTTAAAATAGGGAGTCACTGAAGGTTTTCAATGAAATGACATGACCTGATTGGGATATAAAAATCTCTTTGACTAGATAGTTGTACCTCTGTATCCATGAATTATTCTTCCCCTCTCCCTGTAGACACCAAAATTCCTTGTTGGCCCAGGGGTTGGGACTCCTGATGTAAAGTATATGGGAAGATGTGCATAGTGTGTATATCTCCTATACTGTTAGGTATATACACACTATGCACATCCTCCCATATACTTTACATCAGGAGTCCCAACCTCTGGGCCAATAAGGACCAGTACACCTGTCCCGTATGTGGCTTGTTAGGAACCAGGCCACACAGCAGGAAGCGAGCATTACCAACTGAGCTCTGTCTCCTGTCAGATCAGTGGCAGCATTAGATCCTCAGAGAAGCATGAACCCTATCGTGAACTATACATACGAAGAATCTAGGTTGAGTGCTCCTTGTAAGAATCTAAATAATGCCTGCTGATCTGAGGTGGAACATTTTTCATCCCAAAACCATCCCCCCAATCACCCATGGAAAAACTGTCTTCCATCGCTGCTTTGGTATCATCTCTAGATCACTTACAGTACCTAAAGCAATGTAAATGCTATATAAACAGTTGTTATATTGCAGTAAGGTAATAGTTAAGAAGGAAAAATATCTATATATATATTCAGTACAGACATCTATCCATCTTTTTCCCCCAAATGTCTTCGATCTGTGGCAGGTTAACTCCACGGATACAGAACCCACAGATACAGTGGGCCAACTGCGTATGAAGAGTGGAAACCGAAACCCACATGGAGTAAGGGTTTTACTTTTAATTTCCGCACCCCCCCCAGCCCACCCCAAGACAGGGTCCTACTATGTTGCAAGACAGACTTGAACTTCTGGGCTCAAGGGATCCTCCTGCCTCAGCCTCCTGGTAACTGGGACTACAGGCATGTCCCAGTGTGCCCAGCTTAGGACATTATTTACAGGAGTAATTATGCATGGACTTGAATTATAACAAAGATGGCCAAAAGCAGACAGATCCAAATGTATTTGAAAGGAAAAGAACAAGATTTGCTGACTGACTAGATGTGGAAAGGAAGGAAAAAGACTGTAATATGTGCCGGGCGCGGTGGCTCAAGCCTGTAATCCCAGCACTTTGGGAGGCCGAGGCGGGTGGATCACGAGGTCAAGAGATCGAGACCATCCTGGTCAACATGGTGAAACCCCGTC